GGGACGGGGGGGGGAGGGGAGGGCAGAATTCAGCAGACGCCATTTGTATTAATGAAGCTCCCGACAATGGTGCACGCCCGATGAATTATGTACCTATGTTCGAACCGAACGAAGGTACATAACCGATCTAGGCGTAAGTTTGCTATTGGCCTCACGCAACACTTCCTATTCTCTGATCCTTAGTTATAACTTCGTGAGATCCCTGGCTCCTTAATCTAAACGTAAAGCTGACTCCGATTTTCGAAAATCACACATTTCGGAGATCCGACCGTATAGCTTTTATATTAAAGCGCATTTTATTTCAGATAAAAAAAATTTTATTTATATAAAATAATATATTATTTTGGAACAAAAATGTATATATAGTATCAACATTTACGTTATGTAGATATAAAGATCTTAAATTTCATGTTTTACACATACTTTTATTTTAATTAATAATTTTGAAAATATATTGTATACCGTCAATTAATAATTTGTAAAGTGTATATTAATTTTATATCCTCATCTAATCAAATACGCGATATTTTTAATTCTACGGTGTAAAATAAAGATTTTATTTTTGAACGTTTAATATATTAACATTTACCAACGAATAAATAAAGAATACGTTTTCTAGGTGGTAAAAAAATATAAATTTGATCAAAACCGGGAAGAAGGGGTAGGGCATTAGCTGCGTAGCTACAATCTATTACGCGAAAAGACGAGTAGCGAGGCATCCATCTCGCCATGGCGCGGATAAAACGACCGCTTTACTTTGGATTACAGGGGGAGCAATTTACAGCAGGCGCAAGAGCACCTGTTCGTTCTTGAGGAGATGGAAAGATGGGGACGCGCGCACAACGCGAGGGGTAGTCTTTTAAGGGTGTGGGAATAGCGTGCTTTGCAGACGTTGCGGTAATTGAATCCCAGTAAGTCCCTCTATATAGGTGTATCTACTTAAATGTATAACGCTACTCTCTCTCTCTCTCTCTCTCTCTCCTTGAGGAGATGGAAAGATGGGGACGCGCGCACAACGCGAGGGGTAGTCTTTTAAGGGTGTGGGAATAGCGTGCTTTGCAGACGTTGCGGTAATTGAATCCCAGTAAGTCCCTCTATATAGGTGTATCTACTTAAATGTATAACGCTACTCTCTCTCTCTCTCTCTCTCTCTCTCTCTCTCTCTCTCCTCCATCCGCACCATTTTTCTTTCGCTTCTTTAATCTTTCCGCCTCTCTTCTATCTCGCCGCGCGATGATTTTTCTTTTGTCGACGGCTATATATTGTAAAAGATTTTATTTTGCGCGCGTTTCGACGCTGCGGTGAGGCTACTTGACGTGTCTTAAATAGATTATCTTTTGCTTTTACTCAGTATCTCTTTCTTGAAATTCTCTTATAATTATAAATTTATCTCCTGTATATTTAGTTCCTACAATATATTTTTTTATGCTGTGTTATATCACAAGTGTACGCACGCGTGCCACTAGTTAAAAACTCTTATCTTTTCGTTCTACAAAAGGAATTTTCCAGCAATGGGTTGGGCCGTGCGAAAACTCATTCTGCTATACTCCTCGAGGAGTCTACTATCCCGGCAACGAAATCCTGATGTACGAGCTTCACGTTTCAGCAGCTCCTTGGCTCGGGCCGACTGATATGAATGTGTTAGGTGTAGATGAGCCTAGCGTGCTCCGCCCTCATATAATTACTTCACGCTTCTCTCTCCGTAACCTGGTGCCCTCGGATACTCTCTTCCTCCCTTCCCTTCTATCTCTCCCTCTCTCTCTCTCTCTCTTTCTTGTCAGTGGTGTTCTAACGGTGTTTCTATATCGTCGTGCTCTTGCACGGTGGTTTGCCCGTAGTTGCATGCACCGCTCGCAAATACCATCGTATCCCGCGCGCTTGGTATAACACGGGGGTCGGAGGAGGATTCAGTTGGGTTTGAGGGGGTGTTGTGCAAAGGGGAGGTTATTAGGCAACGCAGCACCTCATCCCTCATCCACCGTAACCGCGCCGCAGCGTGTATTATGTAACAACACGGAAACGAACTGTGAGGCGGTTGGTTGGCCGAAAGAGAGATAGAGAGAGCGGACGTGTAGGATAGAGAAAGAGAAACTATGCGAAAGCCTCGCTGATGTTACTCTCTTGCTGCTACAAATATTACACGTATTCGTAACGATGCGCTCGTAACTCTCGGTTAGTATCTGTTATTTTCACGAGTGCTGAATCATTTTCGATTTGAGCACAAATCATGCACCTCCATGCATTTCGGCAAGGCTAGTTAAGTTTCGTTTATATTAAATTTGGGAAGGAAGGGGGGGGGGGCAAAGTCTTTTTTATTTTGTAATTGTTTTGTATATAAAACATTGTCTTTCTTCGTTAAAATATTTGAACATATTTCAATTTACAAAATGAGATAAAAGTTTCACGATACATCCTGCCAAATAGAAATTAATTTCATTCACGAAATCAATAGATATATAGTATTTGTGTTCTTGTCTCTGCACTATTTCTTTATTATATAAGACGATATAATTTCTTTGAATAAATTCGCTCTATGAACAAATCTCGTCTACCAATATACGAATCTGAAACTTTAATAATAGCTGCTAAGTTTTGAACGCATACATCTCACGGCATTATCAGAAATCTTAATTTACAATTGAGTTCTGGCGGTTTAACGGACATTTTGCGGCCAATATAATGTCTAATAATTCTAATAATTCGCCGGTTTAGAGATGAATGGTGGGAGGGAAGGGTGGTGGCGCATAGGGTGAGAACGTTCCCTGGAGCCGTGCCCGGGAAGGTAGGGAAGAGAAACCGAGAGATGAGATGAACGGTGAGAGGGTAGGAGGACACGGAGAGAAGGAGGTACAGGAGCGAGGGAGAGAAGAAGAAGGAACAGGTCGAGACCGAGGGTATGGGCCGAGGAAATGGAGGGAAGGCCAATTAGAGGGCGGGAAGATTTATCTGCGGGCGACGGGTGTGCGGATAGTAAGGGGTAGGTTGGTCTCTTCTGCCTAGTGCACTTGTATTATTTCTTGGTTGGACAACCCCGTTCAAGACAACGGCGACGTCCAGCTGCTATTGGCTGTTCCTGATCCTTTAGGAATTAATTGTTGATTTAATTTCACGTTTTCGACTGCATAATCTAAATTTACCATTTTTATATTTGTAGTTAATTTAAATGATATACGTACATATATATCGAATTTTAATTCATGGAGTATATTAATTTGTTTTTATTTTACTTTAACTTATCAAAATTAGAAAAAGACTTCATAAATAAATACTATTGTTTAAACTTGCAAAATTTAATCATAAAAGCATGCAGTGCATTGTATAATTGCGCACAAAGTAAAATTTCCAAGCAAAGCTCTCTCTCTCTGCGCGTGTATGAATCGTAAATTATTTTAATAAGGACTTTGACATCTTAAGTGTCTAGATGACGAGATCAAAGCGTTTTCTAGGTGATGTCAGTTTCTTTCAGTATTTACATCGAGAACATCTCCCACTAAATATACGAGAGACAATTTTATCTCGGATAATACTTGGAAGCGATGTCTCGGTATTTTTATAGATTCACGAAATTAGAAACGCGAGCTCTGTGGAAAAAATCAAGTAGAATGAAGATTTGTATGTGCGTGTTTGATGTCATCTATTCTTAATTTTTTAAATTAACGTACTAGAAACTAACATATATAAAATA